CCCCCCCCAAGGTTTCTACACAGCCTGGGCGCCGTCTTCTCTTTCGTCTCCAAGGACGCGGTGGCTAAGGTACAGATCATGGAGAACTACTGCCGCGGCGAGCAGCGGGAGAAATACGTGTCGCTTCAGTCCATGGTGGAGTACGAGCTGGCCAACGGGCTGGTGGATACCCAGAAGCGATCGGGACACCCCAACTCCGGCTGCCGCACCGTCCTGCGCCTCCACAGGGCCCTGCGCTGGCTCCAGCTCTTCTTGGAAGGGCTGAGAACCGGCCGGGAGGACTCCCGGACATCGGTCATCTGTACGGACTCCTACAACGCTTCCCTGGCTACCTACCACCCCTGGGTTGTTCGCAAGGCTGCCACGGTGGCCTTCTGCACGCTGCCGCCCCGAAACGCCTTCCTCGAAATCATGAACGTGGGCACGCCTGAGGAGGCTGTCGCTATGCTGGGTGAGGCCTTACCCTATATCCGCGATGTCTACGCCATCACCCAGGAGCTCTTCGCCCAGCATAAGCTGCTTGACCTTCCTTGATGGGAGGGATGTTAAAGAGCCGCGCCACGTTCCGACCGAAGTCGGACGAACCAGGTGAAAAACCGCGTGTTTTTCATGGGCAAGCGTCTGGTTCTCTGTCCGTGGTCGCTCTCCCTTTCCTTTTCCAGTTTTTCAAGTTGGCAAAGCTATTCAGGAGCCTCACTTTATACGAGAAAAAAATGCACCGATTTTTTTTAATATGTATGTATATTTGTGTGTGTATGTAGAGCCTCGGCTCTACAGTAAGAAAAAAATCCACCATTAGGGTGCTTAAGGGATTTCTTTTCTCCTCCTGGATTCACCTTCAACTCTCCAGCTAGACTGGGAGTGGAGCATTTTGGTTTCTTTTTTAAGCCAAACTCTGCAACTTCAGCAGCTTCTGTGTGTTTACACCGCTAATTAGGACTTTGTGTGACAGCACAACTTTCAGATGATGTGTCCAAACACGTTTACACTACATGTGAGCTCACTTTGTCACTTTTGTTTACAACCTGTTCCCTTGAATAGATCTGGGGGGTTTTCCCTCTTTTATGCTTTAACCTGGACAATATAATCCTGAGTAATGTGTGTCTGAAAGGAAGCTCTTTTCCTTGTGGTCTCAGGACTCGTTTGATTACTGCTGCTAATTCTGTGTCCCCTAGAATTAAAGAAGGAAATGGTGGTGTATGTCATTATTGTAAGAGACCGTTCTTCCTTTGTGCATGGATCCATTAAGCAAGACCTTCCTTCTGCGTAGCTTCCCCTGCCCATTAATCTATGCTTTATGCACCTTGGGATGTGCAACAGTTTTTAGTATATACTGCACAATAATATATTATTCAGCTAAGGCTGCAGACTGTACCTTATCTGGTTTCCAGCCGTGCTTCTAAATTGTGTTCTCATGATTATTTTCTTTAACGAATGTGTCAAATGCCTACAAAAATGACTTCTCTGACTGCCTGGGGAGAAATCCAAACTTGTACTGTGAGTCACTACCTTTGTGAGGCTTACGGCTTCTGTTGCAAATCACTGTATATAGTAGCTCGCGTGTATATGTATACACACACACTGAAGTATGTAAAATGGAGTTTACTTAGCTTTTTGAAAGCTGAAGAAGTACTACATTGTTAGTTCAGGATGACAAGAATATTTGGGGGAGGAGGGAGAATCCCACAGGCTGTAAGCTGTTTTGATTGTATCTCAGATAGGCGTTTTGGCCTAATGTAACACTGCGTGATTCAGGAAATCACTATTACCTCATGAGGATTAGTATAATTAGACATTAAATTATGTGAACAACATGCTTCTGAAGGGTATCCTTTATAGGAATGCTTTCTGGTTTTGTGCTGTTGGAAGGAACATGACCTATAGTGTTACCTATTAAGGTATCTTGTCCTTCACTAGCAGAGTCCGTTTCCTTTAGCTCGTGATCAGATGGGAAACCCACTGTCAGGAGTACCCCAGATGAAGTTAGATGCTGTGTACTGAGCTCCTATTCCGATTACTCACATCTATCAACTGTATCTTTTGCCAGAAGATAGGAAATGAAATTTCCTTGAATATCCTAAATGGAGCTTTAGTTGCTATGCTGTGAAAACACAAATAGCATTCCCTTTCTGCTAAGGCCACCTTAAAATGATTACACAATTCGATAGGATAAATCCATATATTAAAATGGAGCAGTTCCATGTTACGAACTACATAATACATCTTGCTGGACCTCCCCTGCTGTCTGATACAGATACAGCTGATATTTCATCTGTAGAGTGTATTAAATGCCTTAAACTATGTCAAGTAGTATTGTGTGCCAAGTGAAAAAACGTTTAGATCTCTTGGGAGTTTAATGCAGAACTGATAGTATGACCACATGGGAAAATTACTTTTTCTCCCTTGTCACATTCATTCTCAACTATTCCTCTTACGAGATAAACATTAATGTTGAAAATTAACTTGATTTTTGCCATTAAAGAATCAAACTTTCTCAGTAGGGAAAAAAAATGTGTGGTGAGTTTATAACCAGTCATTGTGTGCAAGGTATGCTTCAAGTAAAATACAGTTTTCCATCAGTCTGCATGCTCTCATTTAAACAAGGTATTGCCTAATGAGAATTTTACTTTCCTGGTGTCCTGCTCCGTCTCCAAATGATGGAAATCTTTTTAACAGCCCCAGTTGGTTACCATTGGGTAAAACTAAGGTCCTGTACTCGGCTTTGGGCAAGTTCAGAGTCTGACGGCTTTCACTAATGGGGCCAAATTCAGAAGGATAAAACCTTCCCCTGCAGTGACTGGGGTACTGGAAAGCTGCACCAGCACACCGATGCACTAGAGGGAGTTGGAATATTTTGCACAAAAGCCCCTCACATAACCTATCTCCTACGCCACAGTAATCACACTTGATTTCACATGACAGTATGGATGGGAGTAAATAATTGCCTATGTGTGACTTCTACACCATTCAAACAGCTTTTTTTTTTTCCCCTTGTGCAGTTGAATTTGTGTTTAGAATTTTTAAAAAGAAGTTACACAGTTAAAGCTAACCCTTAAACATTCCATTAAGGGGAAGGTCTCCTTAAAAGGATGTCAGTATAAACATATCTATGTAACACAGCTATAGAAATCGAAAGCTGTTGCTTGCCTGAAGTACTCATACTTCGCTTTCTACAACGTATCCGCTTCTCTTCATACATGGAAAAATATTCTAGCCTTGTGGCAAAAGTGGTATATCACTTTGGCAGTATAAGCAGATTTTATGATAACAGTCTAAATACATAATAAGCCAGTAAAATGCAGTAAATTGACCTTTCCAATTCAGAGCTATCCCATTTTCTAAAATTCAAACCAGACAGAAAAAACGCAAACCATGACGCAACCTAAATTACTACACTGTGGAACCTGTACCTAAACCAAAGGTTTTAAACTGAAGTTAACATCGTAGCTGAGTGTGAGAAAAATAGAGATCAGTCAATAACAACTCCCTAAAAATAGCAGTGAAGCCGAGTGAGAGCTCACCAACCTTGCCATCTAGGAACGGCCTGCTCCAGACAAGTTCTTGCGATGCACTGAGGAAGATTTGGTTATCTCCGCGATCAGGTGACCTTGAATTTAAAAAAAAAAAAAATTAATAAAAATTTCCGCTGCGTACGTCTCTCACCACTACGCTTTAGTTCAGGCAACTCAACATATTATGCTGAGGTTCATTTAAAAATAAATTATGTGATATTCCTTCAGTGCAGGCCACTTCTAAGTGGGGAGCACGCAAGCGAGGGCTTGGATCGGAGACAGCCAGGGAGAACTTCAGGGAACGGCAGGAAGCAACGCGGGTGAGCAAGGCAGTTCTTCCCCGCTCAGCCTCCGCAGGGGTAGCGGTCGCGGCAGCAGGCGCCATTCCGCACAGGGCACGCTCCAGCTCGTTGGATTCCGCCCCCATCAAAGCGCGTTCTCCTTGGCGAGGCTTTGGGATGAGCAACCTGCGCTGATTCAGATCCGCTCCCCGCGTTAGACAAGTCACAAATTCTGCTGTTTGTGAAAACCGTCAACAGGGATGGTTTCTACAAACACATTCCATTAAAGATGATGTTTCTTGTTTGGTTGGGGCGGGGGGGAGTTAATGCAAAAGGCACGGGTCCAGGTCGGGCTGGGGCACCGGGGCTGACACCCCCCTCCAGGAAGCCCAGCTTCCCCAGCTGTGACAGTGAATTCAGTAAGTCGCTCTGCTTGGGCACGGGCTGCTCGCTGAGCAAAGGAAACCGGGATTAGGCCAGTGGTTTGCAACCAAGTACACTCATAGGCTATTGCTGCGTATTTGACTATCGCCCACTAAGCAGAGAGTTACACGTTTAATGAATTTTGCTAAACAAATTCTTCCCCGTTATTTTCATCTCTCCGAGTTCTATTTAAAGAGACTTCCCAGGAACCGCTGAGCCTGGCTCCCCTGCCTCTGTTCCCTCTCCCACATTCTCTCGGAGATTTCTTTGAAACACTTTCCCCAAAACAGACAAAGAATGGTCCCTGACCTGCTGCTGTGCCTGAGCTTCGGTTATGCAGCAGCCCTCAAACCCACGTGCCTATCAGCTCAGTTCAGAAGGCCTGGTGATTATATCATAGGCGGCTTGTTCCCTTTTGGAATCGACACCGTAAACCTGACGGCACGATCAGAGCCCACGTTAATTGTGTGTGAAAGGTAAGAGGAACGTTAGCTTCGTTAGTACGCGTTACATTTGGTCACTTGGGCTGGGAAGAGAAAGGAAAAGGAAGCAGTCCTGATAGCAACTGATGGTCTTGCAGGTGAACATTAAAGGTGAGATGGAAACAAAGATCAGCTCTCAGGTGCTGGAGCACTGGTGTACTGTGCCATCAATTTCTGATCCTGAAATGGAAAATGTTTTTGTGTTTTCTTGATGCTACTATGCAGTCACGCTTCAGATGCAACCAACCCCGTCTGGATGAAAGCACTGGCCTCCTTAGTGTTTTGAATCTAACGCTGACAGAAAGGTGTAAATGTTGCTTTTGCTTCCAGATGGAGCGAGAAGCACGCACTGCGCTCTGCAGGCAGATGACACACGTTGAGATGGTGCTATTGCCTTTTATGAGGTAAAAGGACACGCAGTACTGTAGATAAGGCAAAGCAGGACACGCAATCACCTGGCTTGCAGGCTTGCCGGTGTGCGATCAGTATTTCCTACTCGGTTACACCAAGGTGGTTCACACCATCACAATTACAACCTACTTACAGCTCTGTGAGGAGAATGAAAAGACATGCTAGTGTCCTACCTGCTTCTTTGGCAGCAACAAAGCACAGAAAAGCACGGTCTGAAGTCTTTCTGTCTTTGCAGGCCGTGAGGCCAGGAATATGCCCAGTGCACTGAGCTATACAGCAGAGGAAAACCCCAGGAAGACGGACGTCTCTCCTGAATTAGCACGCACTGCACTTTGGGAACCACTGGCCTCATGACTGAAGTGCACAAAGCTAAGAGCAGGAGGTCATCTGAGTCTTGACCCTCACAGCTGAACATACTGGTCTCT